ATTAAAAACAAAGAATCTACAGTCTTGAATGACTTAATAAATTGATGAAACCTATGCTTGAAACAAGTATGGCTCTGTTGAAGATGACCTTTGAACGATAATTTATCGGAAGTTCGATAATGAAGGTAAAAAATATATTTTTGTATACAGTTTTCTGTGATTATGTGAAGTTCGAGTAGTCCGGGTTCAAACATCGATTATTGAAACATTGTTGATTATTGTAAGCTTATGTAGACTACTTTTTGCCGAGAAGCTTTCAGTTTACTTTTAATCAATTGACCTTTATAGATTATAATTTTAAACTTCATCCAACGGAACAAAGTCTACCGAAGTCAATATTAGTACGAACTAAATTCTCATAAACATACTCTTTATAATATTTGTTCGCATGTCAACAAAACTGTTGTAGCTCACATTCCTTAGAACAAAGCATCTACCTTTGAAATAGCAGTACTAGATAATCATTTTCAGCTTCTATATTGCTATTGGAGCTCCGCTATTAGGTGTTACCTAATTTTTATATTAACTTTTTTGTTTTAGTTAATTTCAACTCTCTCCTTTTTGTCCACAGTATAGCGTCTTGACACTTTTTTCAGGTGACCTAAGTTGTTTTCAAAACAATTGGTAATCATTCCAGTTGAGAAATACTCGATAAGTAATCACATGATTTCAAGAGAGCTAATAACATTTTTTTTGGACGAAAAACTCAAAATTAAAAACATAGATATATACGTACCAGTTACTCCAATCAAAGGACAAAGGGTGACTGTGTTGTCACGAATAAAAAAACCCTCTAAGCATGCTTTTATTCGAATCAATGAGTTCTATTTAAGCTCGTTTGCTGTAAAAAAGTAAAGAATTCTAAAAAAAATCATCTTGTGCATTATGCTGGTGTTTCCGCGGAAACTGGATGTYTCGAAAAACAAATAGTCCCCCGAGAACACAATGCAAAATGTCACAGCAAAATCCCGATATTTCTGTTCTATTGTTTATATTAKTTAACAACAAAATTTTCTGAAGCGATGGGATCTATACACTAATKCGTGCGAGTGGAGGGAAATTTGTGATTGAATTATAATTTATAATGTTACCGCATCGGTTCATTGTGATAGTGAACAGGTAATGATGTTTTGAGTACATAATTAGCCATAAATGCCAATCTATTGTGTGTACAGCTTCACATGCCGTGCTAATATCCACGTGTAGTAACGCATAAGATTGCAATCGATAATTTTTGGCGCATTTTGGGTTAAGAAATAGAGATAAGATTATTAAATAAAAATAACATGGTGCGATATGATAGAAATTTAGTTTTTGTCGCATTTTTTCGACGAGAGAAGA